CCAGATAAAATGCCAGAATATATGCCAGATAGAATGCCACATGATATGCCAGATAGAATGCCAGAAGGTATGCCAGATAAAGTGCCAGAATGTCTGCCAGATAGAATGCCAGAATGTTTGTCAGATAGAATGCCAGAAGATTTGCCAGATGATATGCCAGAAGATATGCCAGATAGAATGCCAGACAGAATGCCAGAAGATATGCCAGAACATATGCCAGGTAGAATGCCAGAAGATATGCCAGATAGAATGCCAAAAGATATGTCAGATAGAACGCCAGATAGAATCTCAGATAGAATGCCAGAAGATATGCCAGATAAAATGCCGGAATATATGAGAGATAGAATGCCACATGATATGCCAGATAGAATGCCAGAAGGTATGCCAGATAAAGTGCCAGAATGTCTGCCAGATAGAATGCCAGAATGTTTGTCAGATAGAATGCCAGAAGATTTGCCAGATGATATGCCAGAAGAATGCCAGATAGAATGCCAGACAGAATGCCAGAAGATATGCCAGAACATATGCCAGGTAGAATGCCAGAAGATTTGCCAGATAGAATGCCAAAAGATATGTCAGATAGAACGCCAGATAGAATCTCAGATAGAATGCCAGAAGATATGCCAGATAAAATGCCAGAATATATGCCAGATAGAATGCCACATGATATGCCAGATAGAATGCCAGAAGGTATGCCAGATAAAGTGCCAGAATGTTTCCAGATAGAATGCCAGATGGTTTGCCAGATAGAATGCCAGATAGAATGTTAGAAGATATGCCAGAAGATATGCCAGATAGAGTGCCAGAAGATATGCCAGAACATACGGCAGAAGATATGCCAGAAGATATGCTAGTTAAAATGCCAGAAGATATGTCAGATAGAATGCCAGAAGATTTGCCAGTAACAAAACGTATAAATGTCATGGTTGTGATAACTCGAAGTAACGTAATTATTTTTTCTGCATGTGTACAGTATATGTATTATTTTGAATGGGATAATCTGTTCAGATTCCAGACTTGCTGGTTGGACCTCGCCCATTTTATGCCTTGGGGACTTGGGGATCTCAATTCTCCTTAAACTTATATAACCATCAACATCAAAATAACCAGGGGATTCCCGAAGTATCTTGAAATCAGCCATAGATGGCGTTGCACCCATTACACAACCCCAAATCCCACTTCCCAGTATCAGAATTCCTTGAACAAATCAGCCTAATCTTCCCATCTAATATATCACAAATATGCAGACGGATTTTTTACCGTTTTGGGCGGGTTCGGGTATTGACGTTCACGTACAAGTTCATACATCATCGACTTCATCACACATAGCTATCTTAGACGGGGTGGGTGGGGTGGGGTGGGGTATTAACGTTCATGTACATGTTCATACATCATCGACTTTAACATCAGGTGTTAGATCTCACCAAATGGAGGTGGGAAAATAGCCAAGAAGATTTGCTGAAGAAAACAGGCATGTCTTTGCGACAGCTGATGAGCTGAGACGAGGAGAGCAAAAATTGCCTTTTGCAGATCGGCGTTTTTTGAAGACAGAAACGCTGTAAAGGTTCTCGAATCCAAAAACACACACATATATATATACACATGCAATGCATGTTTCAACCACAAAACGGCGATTTCGCCATGACGAAAACGTGATTTTTATGGAATTGTGGGATGGTTAAAGATCCGCCGGGATAAATATGATCGACGGACTTAAGCGTCCCCCCAAAAAAGGTGAATATCTTCATGAAATTTGAATGCGTAGTAACATCTAGGGTTTTCATCGTTTTTCATTTTTTTTTCGATCTTATGTTTCCCTCCGGTAATTTAACACAGCTACAGTCTTAAAACCCTGTTGCTGATTTCTTTAGATATAGTTTCCTTAATTTCACAAGGAAAACAAGGGGAACCACAAGAAACCACACAAAACTACAAAAAGGCTACAGGGGCTACAAAAGGCTAGGGAAATCCAAGAAGATTCCCTTCCACAACGTGATGGTCCAAAAGACATGATTTTCCATAGCAGCAGCGCAGTGTTAAATTACACAGCTGGCTACATAGGTATAGTCACTCTATGGAATATATCCAGTTGTATACGGATTGTAAAGAGGGCAAATAACCACTTACGTTTCCAAGGGTGCACATCCAAGTGTGCTGTACACATCTGAATTATTGCATTGTACGTCCAAACAGCTGCACAAGTCGGACATATCCGATCGAAACATCCAAGTCATATATGACACACGGCTATTTTTTCATCGTTTTTTTACCCCAGGTTTTTTCTGTTTTTTCACGAATGCGTTCCATTTTTCACAGAGTTTTTCATTTTTCTTAAAAAGAAAACTGGGATTTTCATAGATTTTTGTTTCCAACTTTTTGGATCTGGTTGGATGTTTGAGGGATTTCCCTTCCAAGCGCCCCCGAGGCCTGCGCCTCAGATGGTCTGCTGGAGACCCTGCAACCTCCAGGCAACGGCAGCTCCGCGGCCAGCGACCCCCCACTGGGCCCGGGACCAACACTGGTGGGACGCACCGCGCCGGTGCCTGGGCCATGGAATTTCGGGTTCCCAGGGGGGTTCGCATGGTTTTCCCATGGTTTTCCCATGGTTTTCCAATGGTTTTCCCATGGTTTTCCCCCAAATCATGACTAAAATTGCTGGTTAAGACATGGGAAAACCATGGGAAATTGTTGGGCAAGATTCATTTTACCCGTTGGTAATGAATCAAAACTGGCTGGAAAATTCTTGATACATGGAGGTGTTAATGGGAACATGATCTATAAATTAAATTAAATTAAGGGAATTCCAATTGCTATGCTATGTTTGATTATCGGAGGGTACTGGGACATTTTCGATGGGAATATAATGATGAGATATCCTTTTTTTGATATTTATAATTTTTATCCATTTGATTACGTATGTAAATATAATGGGATTATGTATATATATATATATATATTCAAGATTAATCAAGCGTTGGATTTGGGGATTCATGAGACCATGTTTATAGGTTTATATATTATTATATAGTAATAGGTATTTCCATTTAAAGGAATTCCCGACAATGGTGGGATGACCATAAACCATGTAGTTTGTTTTGATTGACCACACCCAATTTTTGATCCCCCTTCTTTTTTATCTGGTAAACCCAACAGGATACATAATCCCAGTAAGCAACCATAAAAGGGGTTATATATCTTACATGATCCTACTAATAGGGGTGTGTCATATTTTTCTTAATACAATGTATGCACGCGTATATATATATGTATGTATGTAATGTAATGTAATGTAATGTAATGTAAATGTAATGTAATGTAATGTAATGCATGTATGCATGTATGTATGTATGTGTGTATGTGTGTATGTATGTATGTATGTATGTATGTATGTATGTATGTATGTATGTATGTATGTATGTATGTATGTATGTATGTATGTATGTATGTATGCTCTGTAATGTATGGAATGATATGAATATATGGAATGTAGGTAATGTAGTATGTAAGGTAAGTAATGTAATTGTAGTTATGTATGATCTATTGTATATGTATATATGTATTGTATGTTATGTATGTGTCTGTCTGTGTAGTTGTATATGTCTGTATGTATGTATGTATCTTAGTATATGTATGTATATGTATGTATAAGTATGTATATTATGTATATATATGTATATGTATGTATATGTATGTATATGTATGTATATGGTAGGCTATATGTATGTCTATGTATGTCGTATGTGTTCGGTATGGATGAGAAGTAATGTAATGTATTAAGTAAGTAGGTATGTAATTTAATGTATGGAGGCTAATTAATGTATGTATGTTAGTATGTATGTATATGTATGTATATGTGTGTATGTATGTATATGTATGTATATGGATGTATATGTATGTATATGTATATGATGTATATGTATGTATATGTATGTTGTATGTATATGTTTGTATATGTGTATATGTATCTATATGGATGTATATGGATGTATATGTGTATATGTATGTATATGTATGTATATGTATGTATATGTATGTATATGTATGTATATGTATGTATATGTATGTATATGTATGTATATGTATGTGTATGTATGTGTATGTATGTGTATGTATATGTATATGTATGTGTATGTATGTGTATGTATGTGTATGTATGTGTATGTATGTGTATGTATGTGTATGTATGTGTATGTATGTATGTATGTATATGTATGTATGACATCAGGGGTCCCCACAAAAAGATGGAACGCATTTTCCTGGATGTCACAGATTCCAACTTTTCTTTGGTGTCCTTGTCCGCGGGACATCACAACGAGGACGCGCTGGCCAAGGGTACGCGGCTGGTGTCCATTCGAAGCTTGGCTGACGGTCACGTCGTGACCTCACTGGATTCATGGTGAATGGGCCTAGGGAAATCATCCCCAAATGGCCTTATTTCAGTTGTGAGATATTAAGATTTACCCAGATCATATGCCACGGGCTGCCACGGGTATCATGTTTGCTTGTCTAGAAAGATGTAGGGGAACATCGTGGTGATGGTACGATAGATGAAGGTAGTCAATTGTCACCAACATCATCGTCTCATCACCCCAGCATCAGAGATCTCATAGACGTTGACTGCGTGATTGATATTGATTTATTCTCGTTCCCCTATTTTTTGGAATTAATTTCCAACAGATTATATAAATTGGCATAAAAACCATGTAAATCCATCCCCGGGATGCTTCCACCATCAAAATCACGAAAAAAATTGCCAACCCACAACCCCCGCCCAATTTCCCAGCCTCAGGCACAGCTGCGGTGTCCCTTGCAAGGGAGGTGGAGAAGGAGCGAAAGGCCGGGGATTTCCTTTGGGCCCCCAAGCAACCATCGATTTCCTGCAGGAATGGTATGGTGCGTTGATGGCTGTTGATTCAATTGTCATGTTTTTTGTCCTGGTTGATGGATTCAAATATCGTTTTTCTATGTTTTTCTATCGGCACTATGGATGATAAACCTAAGTCGCACATAATTGAGCATGATTCAATCAACCCTGGTTTGTGAACAGAGAGAAACCCCATGAAAAAAAACGGGGCTCCAGTAAATTACGAATCAACATAGCACTCCGTAATCAGTTAGGCTGAATGAATCCCGGGCAAACTTAAAATCCGACACGGAAAGCCACAGGCGACAAACCTCATCAAACATTTCCAGACGAGTGGTTCCCAAATCGCTGGCACTTGGGTTAGAGGTTACACTTTTGTTAGACGATTATAAAATTATACTAGTTGGGCACAACAGATATCAATGGATTGGGCAAACTTACAACAAACATCAACGCACACTATATAGATCTTCCATCGAAATTGGGTGGAGCGCCCTGTGTCAATGTTTCGCTGAGTAGACGATGGGCGATGGGCCCCACCTGTCAGGCCAGTTTCACCGAGTTCAACGGAAAGATCGCAGCCTCCTGGTCCTGAAAAACTGGCTCATCCTGGTGCCAAGATGTTCCAAGTGTGTGGTATACCAGTGGTATATGATGATGTAGCATGATGTAGCCAAGGATATGGGACTGATCTAGAAGTGGCAGTGAACATAGGTGGGGCTAGGTATGTCAACATCGGTTGGATGTATTTGGATTCTTTGCTTGTCCTTGTTACAAGCCGCAACCGGTCAAACCGGTCAATCGTCTAAACACCGACCTGCAACATTTTTTTTGAGATCATTTATATTTCACCAGACGATTACCAGCAAATGATCATTTACCAGCCAAAAAGGTTAGACTTTACCAGCAAACATGTTATCATCTCTTGCTGGTAAAGTCTAACCTTTTTGGATCACTAAAATATGTCAGTTGCCGGATTCTCCCAATTTTTTCTTTACATCCCACTTTTTTTTTTAAATCATTGTTCAAAACAATAGGGCACCAAAAAAAAAGACGTTACATGTGGAGGCGTGATTTTTGGATCTTAAGACACCCATTGGAGCCAAAGAAGTCCTAGAAATGGAGGCAAATGGTTCTCAGGAGGCAGGCCTCCTGTTGGGAGGCTTGTATCCATATTCCTGAAGCCATGGGGAGCCAGTTGAAGCTACGACGGCTGAGTTTCCCAAGCAGGTGAAGAATGTTGTATCCACATATTGATAGTTATGACATGTTATTTTCCGAATTTAACATTCTTGTAAAGTTCATTGCCCCCGTTAGATTAGATCCCCTTATGTGTCACAGTCACAACATGGGTTCTAGTTGATGTTAGTTTCCCATCTCTTGAGAGGTGATCATCAATGCATTCATCGGGACAGCGTTCCAACCCCCCGGCCATGGTCATGGGGTCATGGGTCAGCAATACACACTAGCAGCAGCAGCAGCACCACCACCAACAGAAAACAACAGCAACAACAACAACAATGTGGTACTATCTCCCCGTCGTGTGGTCGGGTGTGTGTGGTGCGGGTGGTTGTAGTGCAATTATTTATGATATGTATGGATATGTATGGTAGGTATGGCATGGTGGGTATGGTAGGTAAGGTATGTATGATAGGTATGGCATGTTTGGTGTGTATGGTATGTTTGGTATGTATGACATGTATGGTATGTGTGGTATGTATGGTAGGCATGGTAGGCATGGTAGGTATTGTATGTATGGTAGGTATGGTATGTATGGTAGGTATGGTATGCATGGTAGGTATGGTATGTATGGTAGGCATGGTACGTATGGTAGGTATGGTAGGTATGGCGGGTATGGTATTTATTGTAGGTATGGTTAGGTATGGTATGTATGGTAGGTATAGTATGTATGCTATTCTTGGTATGTATGATATGTATGGTATGCATGCCAGGTAATTATGTTATGTATGGTAGGTAGGTATGGTATATATTGTAAGTATGGTATGTATGGTGGGTATGATATATATATATGGTATATATGGTAATATGTATGGTAGGGGCTAGACCTCAGAAATGATGCAAATAGCTGGCAAATAGAAGGGCCGGGGGTGCTACCTGGGGACCCATACCATTGGTGGGTAGGAACATGGAACACGAAACCACATCTATCCCATTATGTCTCTATTATATATGACAATGTATGTATGTATATATATACACACACTCCCATTATTATTGTTGATTAAATCATTTTTTTGCTAGTTAATATCCCATGTTACTTGACCATGGCACATTGCCGGTAGTCCCACGGTCCTCAGGACGCCCGGATGCGGCTGGACGCGTTGCGTCAAGCCATGGACGCGGAGAAAGTGCCGCAGGACCGCGAGCATCGGGAGCTGCACCGTGCGGCGGCGAAGCTGGCGGATGCCTGGCGAGTGAAGTTGGGATTCCATGAGGCTTACTTTGACACAATGATTCAAAGTAATATAATTGGATATTTCTATATTTATATATACATATATATTAAATTATATTAATGCATATGCATAATGCATATGTACATATATATATATATATGTATGTATGTGTATGTGTATGTATATGTGTATGTGTATGTATATGTGTATGTTTAGATGTTCACCCAACAACCAACGATTCCCAATAGAGGATTATTGTTGGGTTTACCTCATTAGTTTTTTAACTATATGGATGTGTACATATATATATATATATGCATGTAATATTTATACATATTTATACATACCATCCGATGTCATCAAACCTGGCATTTGAAAATCCACCATTTGGCTCGATGAATTTCCCAGCTAGAAACCTCCACTTATATGGGTGTAAACCGGAGGGTGTATAAATATATACATAATATAATATAATATAATTATATAAATTTAATATTATATAGTATAATGAGGTAAACCCAATAATAAACATCCTACGATTATCATTACGCACAGAACCAGACGTTTGCCCGGAACCCACGCCTGTCGCACAAAATTACTGTATTCTCTTTTTCAACGGACCCCGACGAATTCTGCACAGGGTTGTTGCCGAGAGTTTCTGGGCAACCAGACACATGGCCTTTTACAGAGTGAGTAAATCCATTATTAATTATTCCCTTCCCAATATTGTTTTAGGGGGTGGCAGGTTTAGACCCTTTGTGTATAATTCCTGTTTTACAAAGTAATCAACATTATCATACCTTTCGGCCTGTTGATTCAGGGGTGGCGGGTTTAGACCCTTCATGTCATATTGTTTTACAAAGTAAACCCATTAATATATCCTTGTATATACGTATTGTTTTGGGGGGTGGCAGATTCATACCTTGTATTCATGTCATTCTATAGATATTAGTGCATACTTTTCTACATATTGTTTGAGGGGAAGTGGCAAATTTGTACCATGCTGTTATGTTATTTGCACCTTGCGTTGACGTTGAGGAGAGACGTCTGAAAATTACGGTAAAAGTGATGAAATTTGTCATGTTGGGCGAGCATAAGGTACGGATATCATTACTAACATCATTATGGCTGCCGTTAGTTTTTTTTGGGTTATGTGAATGTTGAGATTACTACGAAACTGTTTAGCCGGAAGTAGCATCATGATTACTATGATTATTAGATATTCTTAGTGTTGCCAGTTTACTTTTGAGATTTTGGATCGAATCTCGTCAACAATGACGTGAGTTGTCAGGGATTGGGTTGTAAGTGGATCCAGGCGGCAGATCGGAAATATCTTCGCATGCTGGTAACCTGGTACAGACATTGTTTGTATGTTTATATATGTTTATATGCATTATCTTATTCTTTTGTTTCCTCTCCCTCTCTCTCTCTCTCTATCTAGATCTGTTGATTTTAGTGAATACATTGAATACATATAACCATAATTTATTACATAGATATCATAGATTTGGGATGTGTATTTCTTATGGTTCATGAATGGTTCTATATTAGTATCGTTTTTGCTTTACGTGACCAACTGGCTAGCACCGGATGCTGGATCCATCTGGATCCATCTGGATCCGGTGCTGAGGAGTTACAGGCGCAAAAGGCCTTGAAACTCTTCAGCCTCATCGCCAGCTCGCGGCGCGTCACGCTGCTTGGAGCTGATGTTTGGAAAACTTTTGGAAAAGTCCACCGGAGGAGTCAATGATGGTTAGTGATGGTTAATGATGGTTAATGATTTAAGGTGATCATTGTAATGATTGACATGATTCATATGGATTCATAGTGGTTCATAATGATTCATAATGATTCATAATGGTTACTCCTCCAATGGCCTGGTTCCAATGGCCGATAGTTGTCATCGTAGTCCTCCTTGTCATCATGACATGGAGAATGTCAATCCCGTATTTTGCTAAACCCTGGTTGATTAATTAGGGTGGTACTCCCCAAATAGTGGTAATTAAATGGTACCCGGTACCCCCCCAAGGAAACAGCCGAGTGATAGTGGTTTATTCATCCGGGGTTGACATTGGATACATTGGATGGTTCATCAGCCTTTGTTAGCGGTTGTTTATGGTTAAGATTCACCCTTAATGACCCGGTATTATATGGGGGGGTACGTTTGGGGGGCCTTTGTTCAACAAACAGCCTTTGTGACCTCCACCAAGGCACCCTTACGTCTACCTAGCCGATGCAAACGCCACGCCGGCCCCGGCCCAGGGCTGAAGGGCCGGACATCGGCCGGGCCAGCTCCACTTGTGGCCAAGTGTTGAAGATCTGTATCACACACCATGATGACAAAACTGATTTGCATGATTTTGGATGATTTTTGGGACATTGCGACCTATATAAGTTTCGGGACATACCAGCAATCATCCAACATCTCTTTGTTCACAACCAGAAACCACTATATTTGCCCTCTGGAAGATCCTCGATCCGGGAAGATGCTTGGACACCGCGATTGGCTGATGTTTCGCAGTGCTTCAGGTTCCAAGAAAAAATGAAGCAGCGAAGCTGCGATGCGCTGCATGGTGATGCATGGTCATAATACATATTCGAACTGGGTTGTAGAATGGGGCTATACCTAGGGCTATAGCCCTCTGTCACGGACAACGACTCCTATACTGAGGTAAAGCATCATTGGAGTAGCAATCCATGGTCAGACGATGATCTAAGACCCGTGCTGTGGTATGTATCGGGGATACAGCCAGGCAATGGTTCATGTTCTTTGAAAACCAAAAGCATTTGGACAATGATGTACCTCCCAGCAGTTTCACAAGCCAAAAAGGGCCAGGAATGCAAAAGGAACATCAGGTTTTAAATGGTTTTAATCCCATTTCTTGGGGTTTCATTGAAAATTGCTTCCACGTCATGGTACCCTATGGCCTGTTACCAAGCCTGCCAGAGCTCTTCAAGGATGTCCAGGAACCCCTAGCTCGGGATTCATAACCGCAAGTATTCACATAATTACACCAGATAGATATCGCATGATAGATCTCTATACAATTTAATTACAGTAGATATGCACAGGTTAGACATGGTTAGACTAGATTAGATTATATTATATAGGTTCACGACCTTATCGGCGGGACTTACCCGCTGATTGAAATGAGATGAGATGAGATGAGATGAGATGAGATAACGAGAGACAGGGAGACAGAAAGACAGATAGACAAGCAAACATAGATCGACATAGACACACACATACAGACAGGTAGACAGATTGCCGCAGATAGATAGATGGATATTATGATATTATGATCTTTGCATACAACAACATTATCATATAAATCATAATATATATATATTATATGCATATACAGTAACAATAACAGAATATAGTGTATATGTGGATATAAATTATTATAAATTAGATGCACACCAAAAAAAATCAACCATCTACACCGACCTTAGCCCTGCAGGTCCCATCCAACCCCCGTGTCCTCCGGCCATGTCGACGCCATGGCGTGCGCCCACGGCCGCTAGCGCGGCCTTGGCCGCCGCGCTCGGGACCGGAGCCTGGTGGGCATGGTGTGCCTGGCGCAGGCAGAGGCGGCAGGCAGGGACGGGGATGGCATGGGGGGATATTAGTAAATGGCTTTAACTTATGTGGATTCCATATGTGGCACCGTATGGTTATAAGGGGCAATATAATAAGCATAGTTAAAAGATGTTAAAAGTCAATTATATTATGGAATAACCCCACACATCGGGGACTTAAGTGGTTAGTAGCTGGGGTTATAAGCTACTTATAGATAGGAGAACCTACTTAGGGGACTTAGTAACCAGCGCCACCTACTATTTGATGATCCTCCAAGTGGGAAATGGTGATCTATCCCAGTAGTTGGGCTATCCCATCAGCTGATAGAATGCAGTTGGATATAGTTGGGCTACCTCAGATAGATATAGATAGATGGGATGTAGTAAAGCCAATGCTATAAACCAGACCATTCACCAACCATGACCGGGGGTCATTTTCAAAGATCCCATTGCTAGGGGCAGAATGCTATTGGGGATGGTTTAGTATTGGGTTTGCCACGCTATGTTTGTACCATGGACCAAGCGATCTGATATGATGGACATTTTTGCAACTTGCAATTACCCAAAGCCTTTGGTAATCAAACATGGCAATCGAAAATCCCGAAAGATTGAGATTGATAGCTGGGAAAATCGTATAAACGGTGGATTCTCCAGCAAACCATGTTTGATGACACCAGAGGCTTAAAGCTTTCGCTATCAGCCTGCCATTCTCCAAGGATGGCCCTTGGTTCCTGCGTGGCGTCACCATTCTGGATGACCTCTCTCCCAGTGGCTACCGCGAAGTCGATGTCCTCCTAGGCGAAGCGGTGGCACAAATCAATGGGGATTCACTTGAGATTTCATGGAGATAGAATGGGATATTATGGGATTCATAGATTCCGCACATTTGTGCTGCCGATCAGGGCATATCAAAGCGGGTCCCATGTCATGTGGTGTGTTTTCAAGCGAAACCGTCGTTTGTTGTCCCGGACTTGGGCTGGGAATGAGGGTCCTTTTGCCCAAATGGGCAGCAGCTCCTAAATCTATGCTGAAAGGCTGCAATCCAGATAGAACCCATGACTGCTGGTGGTTGTGGTTGTTGAAAATTTTAAGAACTATATCCGCAAAGCTGCTGCAAAGAAAATCACATAAGATAATATAAGATATATGTATAATATATATATATATATTGTATGCACATAATCATCATAATTCCCTGCAGGAGTGTCAACCTCCTGCACATCTCAAGAATACAAAATGACCAAAATGTTCCAGAAACCCAGGATGTTTTATCCGTTACTGCAGAGTGCATGGGCGCTGCCGAGATTCCCAGTGGAATTTTGTGGTCACATCCCCTGGGTGCTTCAATCCTCATGACCTGGGTTCAGTCCAAAATTTCGGGGTTGGTTTTGTAAAGTTCCCCAAATTTTTGGTGGTTGAATTTTCGTTGTGTTTTTCAATTTTATGTGATCAAATGTCCATCCTTTTTCCAATTTTGGGTGGATTTTGGGTAGTTTGACGTTCATCATTCCAATGATTTTCCCAGTTTTGGTGGTAGCATGTCCATATTATTGTCCATTCTTGATCAACTTATCAAATGCCCATGAATTTCTACATTTTTGAACACCGTTTTCCCAATTTTGGATGTGTTGCACTGCCACAGGCCTCGATGGGCGCATCGACCTGGTTTGTGCATCGGCCCGGAGGCCGCCAGGGGCGCAAGTGATCGATGGCAGCAGGAAACTGCTACTGCCAGGCTGCGGCTGGGAGATGAATTGGTGATTGAATGGTGATTGAATGGGGGGTATAATGGTGATTTAATGGGACATAATATGACATAATGGGATCTTATAATGATATAATTAATGGTATATACAGTAATGGGACATTTCATGGGATATAATGGGGTATAATGGGGTATAATGGGGTATAATGGGATATAAGATGGAATATGGAGTGTAAATGGGAGGTGTCCTGTACCACGGGGAGTACCCCCCCCATATGTAGAGCTAGAATCATAAACTATGCCTATAGCTATAGCCACAAGTATAGCTGTAGCTATAGTTACTGTATAGTTTTAATTATAGTTCATATATTATGATAGTTATATATATATACACAGTATACAAGTTTACTTATCTATTGGTTTTCTTGCTTCTACCTGTACTTATGACTTTCTTCGCGTGCAATTTTTGATTCCATCCCGGCCAGTGCCCAAAACCAGCCGTGTCCTTTCGGGGAATCTGTTTTGCAGAACCCCTAAGTTTGAATTAAGGATTTGCTGCAAGAACATGTTTGGGGTTTCCTATACTTCAAACATCTTAAACCACATACGTATTTCTACATTGGCTGGTAAGAGCACATATAAAAGCCATGGCTTTCCTGTAACCTTTCCCTCAAATCTGGCCATTGAAAGCCACTCCCCTGGGCCAGGCTTTGTGAATGCGCACACGCATAGCAGTCAGATGTTGGGCAGGGGCCTGGTTTCACCTCTGCCGTTGGATCTGTGGATCCTCCAGATGTTGGCAGTCACAGGTGCCACCGGACCTGAGGTGAGATTTTCCGGAGACATCTTGGGGCGACCATGGCACCAGCAGGTTCTGTAGATTCTGGGGGTAAAAAAACATGGTGCATCAGGAGGAATTTTTAAGATGCATGTATGGACTGTATGGATGTTCAACGCCACTCTATGGCCATATCATGTTCCTATCTGCACAGACCTGGTCCTGGGTAAGAAAAGTGGTTGACCCCATCATCTGCATTCTTCTGACGGTTGAAGGGGCACACGGCGCGCCATTTCTTCTTCGCGACACATAGGCCTTTCTTTGCTTGCCCGCTAAATTAGTTTCCCGTTGTTAGCCTCTTCACTTTTCACCTCCGATTCATTGATATATATATATATACTATATAATTGTATGTATATATATATATATTTCTAATTGTATATTAATTCTATATATCTATATATATATGCCCCCATTGTATCCACATTGTATCGACATGATATCATCATGAAATATCCTCACTTTCCACAAGCTTCCCATCCCCAAAGATGATCAAAGATGATCATATCATGACACCACTCCCCATTGAAGATCATCAAATACCTTGTATTTTCCCATCATTGGAAGATCACCATCCCCAGGCGCAGCGATGGAGAAGTTCGATTCTCGCGCCCAGGCGGCCTATGTCGCCGCGCTCTTCTGTGGCGTGGAGTGCCTCATGTCAGGCCGGGTCTCCGGGAGCTTTTTTGAGGGTCGTGTTTCGTAGCAGTCCTGACATGGGGGTCTGGGGTCAATAATTTTGAGCCATAGACTCTATAGACATTTACAGGTAATCACCCTCAAAATTGCCAAATATTGCCAATGTCAATTTTATTTGGAATTGTATATGGCAGGCCCTGGCTTTGGCAAGCAGCATTGGCTAGACAATTTTAGCTATGGGGAACATGGTGGGATTTTTGGACAAACCCAGCGGGTCCTCTTCCCGCGTTTTTGATTCTAAAGTCAAATAGTTGGGCAAGTGAGAAATACGCCAAGATCGGGTTGTCGCATTCTTAAGTGCAAGTCTGCTCTCTCTTTCAGTGTTTTTTCCAGGATTTACCTTCAAGTTGCTAGTGTCACTCACATGCTACCGCCATGTGCACTGCCACGCGAAGCAGCAACTTCGCAGCGATAGATGCACTGCATGGGCTGCGAATGGAGTTGGATGTACGAAGCTATACCCTTGCCATGAAAGCTTCTGGAAGGCAGGGGTAAACCTTTCTAAATGGAATGTTGATTATATGACATGTCGACATACCCTAATTTTTGGGTCTTAGCCTTAGCAGGGAGAAATTGAACATGAATAAGGTCTGGGCGATGGCAAGAGACATTGTACTTGTTCAATTCTATGGGAGCACATGTGGTCACGCCGGATGTGATCAGCTACAGTGTTGCGATCAGTTCTTGCGAAAGAGGCCAGCAGTGGCCATGGGCATTGCACTTGTTCCGAGAGATGCAGATCCAACTTGTTTCGCCAGACGTTATCCTTTACAGTGCCGCCATCAGCTGCTGTGAAAAAGGGCTGCAGTGGCAGTTGGCCCTGTCCCTTTTCAACGCGCTGGAACATCGACATTTAGTTCCGGATGTTATCATTTACAGTGCTGCCATTAGTGCTTGCGAAAAGGGTTTGCAATGGGGATTTGCCTTGTACCTATTTCATACGATGCATGCGACGGGGGTGGTACCAGACGCTATTTGCTACAACGCTGTTATCAGTTCTTGCGAGAAGGGCTTACAATGGCAGCTGGCATTGTTGGTCTTCAGCAGGATGTGCGCACAGAAGGTCTTGCCAAATTTGGTCAGCTACAATGCTGTGATCAGTTCTCTTGAAAAAGGTTTCATGTGGCAGCTTGCAGTGGGGCTGTTCATGCAGATGGCAGTGCAGCAGCTTGTTCCGGACGTCATCAGTTGCAACGCTCTCATCAGTTGCTGCGAGAAGGGACTGCAGTGGCAAAAAGCCCTGCACTTCTTCAGCAGTATGAGCCTACAATCTGTGAAGCCAGATGTGGTCAGCTACAATGCTGTTCTGAGTGCGTATGAGAAGGGCTCGCAATGGGAGTCAGCAGTGCACCTTCTTTCCCTCATCCGCACGTGTGGAGATGTGACACCAGATGTGATATCTTACAGCGCTGTGACGAGCGCATGTCAGCAGGTTTCCCATATAGTTTCAGGTGTTGCTTCTTTATTTCCCCCAAAGAGAGCTGCATAAACTCAGTAAGCAGACATGGGGATTTTTTTTTTGGAAGCCCGAAGCCCCATCCCATATCCAAGTTTTCTGAAAGGGCACATTACCATCTGGTTATTTAACATAGCCATGGTATAGATGGCCCATAGAAATAGATGGTTCACCGTTCTTAAAAATGGTGGATCTTTCCATGGCAAACTGTTAGTCATAACCAGAGGGTATCATCCCAATGAGGATTAATGAGGATTATCATCCCAAGGGATCAATACCGAATCCATGGATTTCTCCGAATCGGTGATCGTTGATGGTTGGATTTCTATGGATTGTTTATCAATGTTTATCACATGATTTTTCTCCAATTTCATCCCCTTTCCTCTCAGGCTTCAGAATGGCAGCTAGGCCTGCAGGCCTTTACAGCCTTGAACCTGTCGAAGATGGCGCCGGATGTGGTGAGTTTCAATGCTGCTATTAGCTCCTGTGAAAAGGGATCCAACTGGCAGTGCCTGAATCTTTTATGATCTGCGTTTCATATTTTTTTGCTGGTAGATCTTGGGACATTTTGTTTGGAGCCATGAAAGTTGTGATCCAGGTGATCCCGTATACATAACGGGGAGCGGTAGCCCAGTTCGTTCTTTCTTCGAGAAGAAGAGTGAAAATAGGTTTGATTTTCGTGTTTTGTTCGATTTATTTTTTGCAACTTTCCCCGAGAACGGTGAAGATGATCTCAATTCAATTGACTACCCGGAACCATTTAGAAACAAAGTGGAGCTTCATTTTGGGAGGCTGGAGTTCGATCTTTTGTTGGGTGATGTTGGGTCAAAGACGGTTCTCTCTCTCGCTCCCCCAAAAAAGTACCAATGTCTTGGGGTAAAGACACTGCCGGGTACCCCGAGGGTCTCAGTATCTTCGTGTCGCTATCCACTAACCTACGTAAAGTACAGTAGATCGATTGGTGGCCTAGGTTGGCATTGCATCTTCTCAGCGACATGGCCGAAGAGCAGCTTTTGCCCGATGTGATCAGCTACTTACAACGCAACATTTCAATTGTGAAATCTGTGGCAATTATCCCGCATTTTTCCCCAGTTGCTTATAGATCTTAAAGCAACTCCGCAGAAGATAGAAACATATATATAGAAAAGTCAACTTCTACTGTTGTGCTGGAAAATAATTGCCAAACCATGCCAAACCTTGACCTTTTCCATGCATGTTTTGTGGGTTGCTATACAACTACATATGCTAGTTCATTTATGTTCATTTGGGTTTGTCTGAAAACGAGGCTCTCCCAAATTTGATGGTCAATCACCGTTTTCCCTATTAGAACTGCAATTTTCAGACACCTTCAAACGTTCTTTGTGTTATATATAGTCTATAGTCTACATTATTATATATTTCCCATGATATATCCTCATTATAGCCTGTTACTACAACTGGTTCATCGGTCCAAGTCATATTGAATTGGATACTGTATATATCCCATGATATTCCCATTAAGTCTCATTAAATCCCTATGGTTTGTGGGTTGCCAACTTCCCACCCCAAAAAAACTATCTCACTGATATCATTTGCTGGCACGATTTTTCCCATGACATATTCCATAACATATCCCCATATTGTTGGGTACATTCCTTACCCATAGGATCCATGTATTCTATATATGGTAACATTTACCATCAATATACCCCCAATGTTAGCATATATACCATACATGGATCGTATGGGTTATAAAAGACACAATTTCTTTCCATCCCGTCGCTGTTGCCGTCGAGGCTTCAGCAGCACTCTCTGCAGCCTCGATGCTGCGGAACTGTGGCCCTTGGCTCTGGAGATCTTTGCATGGCTTTGCCGAGGGCTGGAGCCGAACGTTGCGCGGATGTCGTAAAATCCTCACGACAATGGGAATATGTTTGACAATTGTCCGATAGTCTATTTTTATATAATTCATTTATACCCAATGGATATAAAATATGAACATCTTAACTTTGTATATGGTTGATTCAGGTATACATATATCATAAAGAATGGGTGCATTGTGTACTCCACCAGCAAAAGATGTGCTACAGATGTGCTGGTGGAGTTCATCTAGAAATCTGGATTTGTTTTGGGGTCTTGACTGGCTCTTCCCTCCCACATCCAACAGCTCCAAAACCTAAGGTTTACAGCTACAATGCGGTGATCAGTTCCTGTCAGAACGGATCCCAATGGCAGCTGGCATTACTTTTCTATGAAGCTATGGACGGGGTCAGCTAGATTTGCTTCAGACGTTTTGATGTTTTTTTTTGAGTTGTTTTTTTCAATGAATCTTTTGCGCTTTTTTGACCTGTCTAGACTGCAACAAGGGACATTAATTCTAAAAAACATGTTTTGCTTGTCTGGCAGGGTTGTCAATGATAGTTGCGGGTTGCGGGCTACTCGTGGACAAGGTTCCTTCAAAGTTCCTATTGTTTTACGCAAGATACGCAAGGGTGGTTTAGTTTGTGGTGTTTAGTGTCCGGTAATCCAACATAGCAATTGAAAATTCCCCCACAATGGAGGTTTTAATGGGAAATTCATCTATCAATGGGTGTGTTCCATTGCCATGTTTCATTACCAGCGGGTAGCACATGCCACTTGGATAGGTTTGCTTTAGTGCAAGGTCAAACGCCAAATTGTTCTACGGAACAGGAGGCCTCACAAGATGGCTAGCTGTTGGTTTTAAGTGTTTTTCAATTTTCCACCAGCTCACAAGCTGATACCCAAGTTACAATTATGACCCCATGATCCTTTGCACTCACAATCTGGTTCTCACAGGGCCACCAAAACGAATCCATTTAAAATATAGTAAGCTATCCGACAAACAAATTCACACACAGAGACAGACAGGCAGACGGACATACACAACACATAATCATTAACATGTAATTACCACATACAATCACATACATACTGTATTTGTAACAAATACCTTGCCTTACCGTACCTTACCTTCTCTTACATTACATTACATATAACCATGCACAGCCATATATATATATAACATATATACTGTAAAATATTGATAACATAGCAAGCCCGAAAAAGATAGACAAATAATTCATCACTCTTCGAATAGGCACGGCACGGCAGAGTTTCCAGGTGTTGCCCGATGTGCTGAGCACCAGCCTAGCGGTCAGCAGCAGCGCCATGGCGCAAAAATGGCACCTGGCGTCGCAGCTGCTGGACCAGTTGAGCGTCACAGGGCTGCCAAAAAATGACGGATGGCCGAACAGTGGAGGATTTCATGGGGATTCAAATGGAATACTAATGGCATATTTATGGAATAGGGGGATGATTGTTCTATTATATATATATATATATCACCACAAATCTTAATATTATACTAATATTTTGTCCAATGTAGTATAAATACAATGATATGTATATATATATAGATACGTATATATAACATAATGTAATGGAATAAAATATACCATAAACAAAAATCAGAGAGATAGCGATGGAGAGAGAGAGAGAGAGGGAGATAAACAAAAGTGATAGAATCTAATGTAACATGATATAGTATGAGTATGATAATGGTGCATACTATGAGATAAGAAAGCATAGCATAATAATATGATATAATACAATATAATACGCAACAACAAAATATAACATGACGTAATATACCAGTGGTACCGCACAAGGCGGTGGCGGAAGTTTCAAAAATTGGGAAACCTGTAGGAGAGGTTGATTGTTGTGAAGCACGGATGGCAGAGCGAAGCCACTGATGGATCGAAAGGTGATTGATCTCTCTCAATCTTTCTACCTCTTTTTCTCTCTTTCTCTGATTATCTACCTACTTACCTACCGATCTATCTATCTATCTAACTTTCTATCTATCTATCTATCTACCTATCTATCTATCTGTCTATCTATCTATCTATCTAATCTAATCTTATCTAATTTAATCTAATCTAATCTATCTATCTATCTATCTATCTGTCTATCTATCTATCTATCTATCTATCTATCTATCTATCTATCTATCTATCTATCTATCTATCTATCTATCTATCTATCTATCTATCTATCCATCTATCTATCTATCTATCTATCTATCCATATCCATCTCCATCTATCTTTCTATCTATCTATCTATCTATCTCTCTCTATCTATCTATCTATCTATCTATCTATCTATCTAATCTATCTAATCTATCTAACTATCTATCTTTCTATCTATCTATCTATCTATCTATCTATCTATCTATCTATCTATCTCTCTCTATCTCTCTGTCTGTCTGTCTATCTACCTATCTACCTGCAAGCTTGAAAACTCGCTCTGTCTGTCTGTCTGTCTATCTATCTATCTATCTAGCTGTCTAGCTGTCTATCTATCCATCTGTCTATCTATTTATCCACCTGGAATCCATCTATCTATCTATCTACCTATCTATCTATCTATCTGTCTATCGATCTATCTACCTATCTATCTACCTAAGAATCTATCTATCTATCTATCTATCTGTCTGCCTATCTATCTATCTATCTATCTATCTATCTATCTATCTATGTATCTCTATCTTTCTCTCTCTCTCTCACTATCTCTCTGTCTGTCTGTCTGTCTGTCTGTCTATCTATCTATCTATCTTTCTGCAAGCTTGAAAACTCGCTCTGTCTGTCTGCCTGTCTGTCTATCTATCTATCTATCTAGCTGTCTAGCTGTCTATCTATCCATCTATCTATCTACCTATCTATCTATCTATCTAGCTATCTAGCTGTCTATCGATCCATCTAGCTATCTATCTATCCATCCATCTATCTATCTATCTCTCTCTCTCTCTCTGTGTCTGTCTGTCTATCTATCTATCTGCAAGCTTGAAAACGAAGCTATCATGACATTACATGACATTACATTACATTAGATGACATTACATGACATCACATAACATTACATGACATTGCATGGCATTACATGGCAGTACATGACATTACATGACATTACATGACATCACATGACATTACATGACATCACATGACATTACATGACATTACATGACATGCTTTATACATTATATCCGTTTGTATTGGGGAACATGTGAGAATTAATCGGCGTATGTCATTCGGATTTGCCCTAAATAATGAAAGTTTAACGCATCCAAATTGGGATTTAATCAACCGTGGGGATTCAACCGATGGAGATTGGGTATATCATAGGACAATCATGGGATGCATAGCCATGACAAGAAACCGGTCGAAACATTTTTTTCAGAACAATCTGGCAGACCCAAGAACTACTGTATAAAGAGAAACCTATCCCAAGTCTCTGTGATTTAGATTGCGAATCGCGACTTCCAAAATTTTGATCGGATCTAAAATCAGCATGTTTGGCCTAGACTTCTAAAGGCTTCCGGAGGAGGTGCAATGCATTGACAATGCTTTGGGTACTTCCGTTGGTTTTGTTCGATCCCTTTGAATAGCAATTTGTTTCCTTTTATGCCTCGGCTCAATCTGGAACCTTCGAGGCTTCAGTTACCATTCTATGGGCGATTAGCTCCATTCTTAGGTCTCAATGACTAAGTTTTTGAAGTTTTTCTGGTGGGATGAAGATCCATTGGCCAGTTTGATGGTCCAGGTGGTCGAAGAGCTTTGACGCCGGCTCACATCGTGTGCCATCAACATGCGGTATATACGGATATGTGTTTACGTAAAAAGCATTAAAACACATAGACCCATTATTACCATGGCATTTGTTGCAATAAGACTCACGATTTGTGTTGTTCATGCATGTTCATGCCTTATTGCCAACCGATTCAGCTGGATTCAGATGATTATTCTTTGGCACTCCAAAGTTGCGAATAGTACTGTATTGGTTTAGTTGGAGAAGATTGGGGATGTGTATATATATATATTTATATGTAGCCAACAACATGATTTGGACATTCCCAGAACTGTGGTGCGGTATCTCCCAATTTATGGCCGCAAGGCCCCTTGGCTCATCTTGGCTTCCCAGTTTGAAAAGGTAGTCCAGGCGCCATGGCATTGGGCGAAGCAAGGAGCTATACCCTTGCCATGAAATCCTCTGGAAGGTGCGGGGTATAGCCTTGCTGGTTGGCCGAAAGTTTGACCATTTTTCTTGGATGAATCGGATGAGTCTTAGAGATATCCCACCAATTTTTCCGGGGGGTCTACGTTTAGAAACGAAGGTCTGGGCGATGGCAAGCGGCATTGTACTTGTTCAATTCTATGGAAGCACATGTGGTCACGCCGGATGTGATCAGCTACAGTGTTGCGATCAGTTCTTGCGAAAGAGGCCAGCAGTGGCCATGGGCATTGCACTTGTTCCGAGAGATGCAGATCCAACTTGTTTCGCCAGACGTTATCCTTTACAGTGCCGCCATCAGCTGCTGTGAAAAAGGGCTGCAATGGCAGTTGGCCCTGTCCCTTTTCAACGCGCTGGAACATCGACATTTAGTTCCGGATGTTATCATCTACAGTGCTGCCATTAGTGCTTGCGAAAAGGGTTTGCAATGGGGATTTGCCTTGTACCTATTTCATACGATGCATGCGACGGGGGTGGTACCAGACGCTATTTGCTACAACGCTGTTATCAGTTCTTGCGAGAAGGGCTTACAATGGCAGCTGGCATTGTTGGTCTTCAGCAGGATGTGCGCACAGAAGGTCTTGCCAAATTTGGTCAGCTATAATGCTGTGATCAGTTCTCTTGAAAAAGGTTTCATGTGGCAGCTTGCAGTGGGGCTGTTCATACAGATGACAGTGCAGCAGCTTGTTCCGGACGTCATCAGTTACAACGCTCTCATCAGTTGCTGCGAGAAGGGGCTGCAGTGGCAAAAAGCCCTGCACTTCTTCAGCATTATGAGCCTACAATCTGTGAAGCCAGATGTGGTCAGCTACAATGCTGTTCTGAGTGCCTGTCAGAAGCGCTTGCAATGGGAGCCTGGGTGTTGACTTGGTTCGTTTTATCCTTTGGTGTTTTGTCATGGTTACAGCTTGTCCAAAAGAGCGGATACACCACTTCCAAAACGGGCCACTTTACTGTAACGGGGAAACTTGGGATCAACGATGAGACTTTGGAGCCTATTCAACGGTTGTAGAGCACTGCAACTCTTTTTACTTCATCCCATACCCACTGCAGCGACAGTAAGCTTCTTGTTTTTGTCCCAAAGCTTTCTTTTTGGTCTCAAACCGATTTGCCTTTGCAGTAAGCTTTATGTCAGGTTGTAGCTCTGCAGTTGCTGCAACAAATGCGGGAAACGCGGGATGTTTCCTCAGATGTCATCACGTACAGCACGATCATCGGCTGCTGCCAGGGCTTTCCTCGCTGGCGTTTGGGACTTTGTTTCCTGCAGTTGATGCTTGGACTTGATGGGAGCCTTTTTAGCTTATAAAATCATATGATATTTACTCAAAGCTGACACTTTTGTTTGCCAAGAAAAGCATGACTTTGATTGCAGAATTATAAGTACTGTAGATGATTTATCCAAACACAACCGGCAAGCCTTACACATGAAACCAAATATGTTTATACACCCAACATTACCCAACAAGCAACAGTCAGTCCTGAGAAGGGATTCTGTGATGCCAGCTGCGTGTTTATAAGGCTGTGAAGTAATCTATGATAATTTGGTCATAGGTTGCCATTGCAGGTGGCCAGTGCCCTGCTAACAGGTTACTGTAATAGGTTTATATAACTGACGAAACTCCGATGGCTTTTGGGTATGACCCAAGACTGCATCCATCTAAGTTCAAGAATCCAATCATTCTGGCAGGTTCGAGACATCATAAATCACTTCTGCCAATCCTTGTAGATGTTCATGTTCCGATATTTTCGATACAGTTTATTTTTTCGATATTTTGGACATCTTGGGCCGTTTTCCCATTTTTTTTTCGCCAAAAAAGAACAGCCTTTCCAGGCTGGGCTCAGAAGGGGTGTGCTACGACACCCTTTGCTTCAACCAGGCCATGAGCGGCGGAATCTCCTGGCGGGGCACTTTGCAGCTCTTGAGGAGCATGAAGCTTTGGCTCAGTTGGGATGTGGTTGGTTAACTACGTATGGTTACCCTCAGGTAAATTAACACACTGAAAATCAGCTATTTTCAGTGGAAACTAATCTTCCAACCCCTGTCTGGCAGGTTCTATATTAATTCAATTTTAGGGACCCCCAGCAGATGGATACATGCACGGTACGCAGACATGGCATTCCACTGTTGTTGAATTAACTATGGTTAATATGATGAGAATATCATGGGGATACAACGGGATAAGATGATATATGATGATATATGATGATAGATGATGATATTTGATGATATATGATGCTATATGATGGTAGATGATGATATATGATGATATTTGATGATAGATGATGATAGATGATGATATTTGATGATATATGATGCTATATGATGATTGATGATGATAGATGATGATAGATGATGATAGATGATGATAGATGATTGATGATGATGATGATGATGATTATAGATGATAGATGATAGATGATAGATGATAGATGATGATAAATGATGATAGATGATGATAGATGATGATGATGATGATGATGATGATAGATGATGATTGATGATGATAGATGATGATATATGGTGATAGATGATGATCGATGATGATAGATGATGATAGATGATGATAGATGATGATCGATGATGATGATGGTGATGGGTGATGATGATGAAGATGATGATGGTGATGATGATAGATGATAGATGATTGATGATGATGATGATGATAGATGATGATGATGATGATGATGATGATGGTGATGGTGATGGTGATGATGGTGATGGGTGATGGATGATGATGATGATGATGGTGATGGTGATGGTGGAGGTGTTGGCGGTGGTGGTGCTGATGGTGCTGGTGGTGCTGATGGTGCTGATGATGATGGTGATGATGGTGATGATGATGATGGTGCTGATGGTGCTGATGGTGCTGATGATGATGAAGAAGAAGATGATGACGATGACGGCGACGATGACGATGATGATGTACAATGCGACATAGTTGGATATGAACTCCATTTAAGAATTTGATATATAGCAGCTTGCTACTGTACAGACGGCCCATTTCTAGATGTTCGATGAGTTTACCTATTATATATCTAAAATTGTGATTTGTCATAGATTTCAATTGACCAGGTGAATATTATGGGAATATCGTGGGATACAATGAAATATAGCGGGGTATATATATAGTGGTTGATCTAAAGTTCCTAGTAAGGAGTCTTAATTGCGAAAGCCGTGCGTGTTCTGTTGGAAACCCTCGCGAAAGTTTTTTCGAGTTCGCGAAGGATAGTTTTTTTATTCGCGAAAGTCTCGTGAAAGTTGGATATTATGAATCATTACCATTGTATACGTTACAGCTTGTTCAGGGCTACGCGGCTACCACCTCCTGCCGCCCGGGGGTCCGGCAGCAGAATGGTACCGCACATTTACTTTTCCCTTCATAGGTAGCAGCCAAGCTTCCGAAGGTGAGGCTTCGCCACAGCCAAGTACCACGGTCTTGAAGCACATCCTTGCACCTGCCGCTGGTACTGCCTAGCGTTGCTTTCTGAAGTCCCAAGAAACAAGCTCCAAATGCAGCAGCCATCCAAAAGTGAGGCTTTGCGAGAGCCAAACACCAAGGCCCCTGGCGTTTGCGGTTCTTCTGATGCACCCCCTGGTGATGGCTGGGGTCTGCGGATAGGGGTATTTTCGCGAAAGTTCCGCAAAAGTTCTGTGCAGGACTGGGCGGAAGTCAAAGTGCATTTTGAAAGGAGTGACCCAGTAAGCTTTGTAAAACATCGCTTAATCTCTAACAACTTGTCCTGAGAAGAGGATTCCGTGATGCTAGCTGCATGCTTACAAGGCTATGAGGAAGTTATCCGGAATAGTTTGGTGTGATTTGGCAGGTGCTGAATGAATCTTCATAAGAGGACTTGTTGCTCAACATGGGTTCCGCGAAAGATAAACATGGAGTTCGCGAAAGATTCGCGAAAGAGAACTTTTTTATTCGCGAAGAATGGCCGTTCCCGGACAAAGGAATTTGATCAACCACCACAATATCTGTCTATCTATCTATCTATCGATCGATCTATCTATACTATTTATTTATTTGTCTATCTATCTATCTACGTACCTATCTATCCATTTATCTTATCTTATCTTATCTATCTTTTCTTTTCTTATCTATCTTATCTATCTTATCTATCTTATCTATCTGATCTATCTGATCTCTCTATCTATCAGTCTATCTATCTATCTATCTATCTATCTTTCTTACTATCTATCTTCCTATGTATCTTCCTATGTGACTTCCTACCTATCAATCAATCAATCTATCTATCTATCTATCAATCTATCTATTTATCTATCTATCTATCTATCTATTTAGTTAGCTATCAATCTAATCTTATCTTATCTTATCTTGTCCTATCCTATCCGATCCTGTCCTATCCATCCATCTATCTATCTATGGATACCTAATCAACAATTAGGCTTACCCTCCGGTGTCATCAATCGGGGCTAGCAGGGAAATCCCGAGCTAGCCAAGGAGGTTTTCAATGGTTTTAAGCTGGAAAATCATCGAGCCAAATGGGAATCTTCCAGTGGATTGGCACTAATTTTCTGAGCATCAGTCGAATTTGAAGATCCAACTGGTAAGTTCGTGATTGAGCGAAGAATCAAAACCATGATTCAATCTGTTCAAAACAAAGCCTCCAAATCATCCAAAACCCGAGCGTGTCCAAGAATATTGTATCCAGATTTGTTTCAGTGTGATGTTTGATGATTTTTGATGTTTCCGCATGTCCGCGTTTTTAGGCCTTTGAAGAAGGTGACAGGTGACGTCATCGGCTACAGTGCTGCCATCCATGCATGCAGCCTGGTTTGTGGACCATGGCCTGGTCCTGGTGCAGAAAAAACGTGCGATCAGCGGTCCCGGGTGCCGGGTCTGCCGGGTCTTAGTTGGGTGCGACCAGTGAAATAATCATGGACAGATCGTGACTCACAAGCTACAAAAGGTGACCCCAAATCGGGTGTTGCCATGGTGCCAAATGCGTAGATGGCACGCTGATTTGAAACATATTTGAAACCTCCGGATAATGAGAGAGATGGGCAGAGATGGGTGATTCACTGTACTGGCGCACGCCTGGTCACATATTCCGGAAGATGGTAGTCCAAAAATTGAAGACTCCTAAGTAGGCCCACTGGCTCCGCGACTCTTAAAAAGGACCAACCATAGGCTGATTTTGGGATATTTTTGGAGATGCTTGGAAGGCTTTGGCACACAGCAGATACAGACATGTCATACTTTGAGTTCTATCTGAATATGTAGTGTTGCAATGTCTTGGATACCCCTTATACATTTCTATGAAATGCTAGTGGTCATCCGACCACACTGAGAATAATTGGTTATTTGCTTTAATTATACGTTTTTGTACTGGGGTTGCAGGACACATAGTGGGAAAACTTAAATGTTGGATGGCCGTTCATCCCCAATACCTTTTATTTTTGTTACTGTCATTCCGGGTTCTGATGTAATCGCTGACGAATAGGGAATTGGTATTGGGTTTGCTCCAGGCAATTTTATGTTTCGGCTAGGAAACCCACTGTGAAACCTTAATTGGTTTGGTGACCGATTTGTTCAATTCTTGGTTCCCATTTGGGTGGGTTTATTTGATATGGTATGAGGTTGCTTCACTTTGTGTGCGGCCCATTAATTACGCAAAACGAAGGATGTTGATGTGAAGGTAAATGTTGCAAGACATATGCATTTTTCCCCTTAAAGCAATCCAATGAATCATGACAAGAACTTTTTGATCCAACCCCGAGGCTGCACAGCTTTGCAGGACGCTGCAGCAGGGTAGTGTCTCTATTCCTCCCTGAATCCAGCTGCGGTTGAAAAACACATGTGGGGGTTGGCGCCATGATTTTGAACCGGGATTTTACAACCTACCGACCGATGATCACCAATCGTTTTTTTCCCCACCTGCCAGGTGAGGGTCTCAAGATTTTATCAGAGATGCATCCCATCCTCCTCCTTCTCCTCGTCCTACAGCTCCTCAACCAGGCGCTGCAGACAGCATTGGGCACTGCCGGACCTCAACCACGAGCTCCAGATCTCAGTGGGCACTGCCGGATCTCAACCACGAGCGCCAGAGCTCATGTCAGATAGTCCGGCAGTGCCCATGCTAGAGAGCATGTCGGAATAAATGCCAGATAGAATGCCAAAATAGAATGTCAGATAGAATGGCGAATAGATACCAGATAGAATGGCGGAATAGAATGTCAGATGGAATGCCAGATAGAATGCCCAGAGTAGATGCCAGAAAGACTGTCAGAATAGATGCTAGATAATCAGATAGAATGCTCGATAGAATGCCAGAACAGATGCCAGAAGAATGTCAGAATAGATGCCAAATAGAATGCCGGAAAGAATGTCAGATAGAATGCCAGAAAGAATGTCAGATAGAATGTCAGAATCAGAATATATAATATATATATAATATATAATATATATATAATATATAATATATATATATATTATATATAATATATATATATATATATTATATATTATATATATATATTATATATATAATATATATATATATATTATATATATATTATATATATATTATATATATATTATCTATTATATATATATAGTAAAATATATATATTTATTTTTTTATTTGTTTATTTATTTATTTTCTGCTATCCATTATATACTTCGATGTATGTCAGAATAATGTGTCAGGGTGGGGACCAGTCGAAGAACATAATTTTGAATTTGCTTGACGGCTTCCACTTTGGCACCATGGTGCGAGGACCATTGCTTCGTCCTGTCGTTTGCAGAGGCTGAAGCAGCCTGCAAGGCTTACAAGGCTTGCGGAAGCCTGCTTTTTCATTTACTTCACTCAGTTGGTGAATGAATCACCGGCTTGGTGGTTTCCAATATTCATTGCACGTTACTGAACCATACTTGGGATGATTGGTTGAGATGAGATTACTACTTGTGGGAGTAAAAATACGACGATCAACAGGACTGGGGATTTGGCCCACCAAACCCTAGGGTTTTCACATGTTTTCACCAACATGGGATGAACCTTGTTGAACCCCAATGTTTCTTAGGATGTCGGACTGCGAGGATTTGGGTCTCCGTGTTTTCTTTGCGCCGATGCTCAACGACGATAAGGAGCGACATCCTGTCGTGGGGGCAGGGCTGCTTGCTCCCGTTAAGTCTAAGGGCTCTGGCTGTGCATGAGGTTCCCGATGCTACTGTAATTGCATGAGGTGCCAGTTGGAACAACATTTTTTGTGTGTCCCAACCTGATCGTTTGGGACGAAAAATCAACAACCAGAGGGTTTCAGTGGCAAAAAATTGTAGTTCACCAGCCAACTGCAAGAATGAACATATTTTGTTGTAGGTCCCTTTGGAGGTTTGACAAGGGTTCAGCACAAACAAGTGATTTCCAAATGGTGCAATTTAGTACAATTTTAACTTAAGAAATAATCATGCAAACATTGCCTGAATGGTTTGTATACCTGCAAGATCCCTGAGGTAAGCATTTGGTCAGTAACTGTGTTATGAACCCACTATCTGTATCTACATTGTCACCTATAGCAGCCTACAACTAGCCCAGGTTGCTAACAATGTTTCCCGAGTCTGACTATGCACGTAATTGGCATCTACAGGAATATCCTTTACATATTAAGATACGCCCAGATCACCTCAGTACGATGGGGGGTTCTCCAATGGGGGGACTCCAAAACCATCCAAATGATCACGATTTTACACAGAGAACCAGTGGTGAATTTGGATGCCTCACTGGTTTGAGAGATGCTTAAATATGTATCATTTGTCATTTTGTTCAAAACGTTCTATGTTTATATGATTTGGTATTATAAGTATAAATAATGCTATAGTGTTTTTAGATGTTTTTTTGAATAAACCGGGCCCGGTTGGTTTGTGGTTTATTTCCTCTGAATTAGTATTTGGATGTATTTGGCATTTGGGATCTATATAATGGCCTGTGCAGTTGGCTGGGTAGTAAGTGGCCAGTAGCCCATTGTAGACCCATTTCTTTGGCTTTACTACTAACAGATGAACTAACTCCATGGCCCATCCAGGCAATGATGTCTCTGCCGCATAAACATCCATAAACATATACTACCTAGTAGAGTTGTGAATCGAAAACATCATTGAATTCATTAAGTCATAATTTAATAATCTAAAACCCCATCAAGTGCTAGGTTTTCCATCACCCCCATTCCCCCATCCGCTCCCCAGGTCCTTTACGAAAACTACGTGCCGCGCAGTGGGGACGCCGCGGCACGCAATGCGCGCGGCGAGCGCGGCGGGCTGGGCCCCGAGGGCAGCTGGCGGACGGAGGTGGGTGCCAGCGACGAAGCGAAGTGTCGCGCCAGCTTGGCGCTCTGGGAGGAGACGGCCCTGGTTTTTTTGGTTGAGGATTTTTGACCAAAAAAATCAAAAAATGGGGAGTTGAGCATTCACATACTTGAGAAATATATAGAAATATATAGAAATATATGTAAGGATAGAATTCTGTGTGTTGTCCGTTTTTTTTGATGGGCTCACTGTTTAGTGTGTTGGAATTGGTGATTTAGTATTTGCTTGTGAGCTAACAACAAGGGTATCTACTTGACTCAGGACAGACTTGCTAAACACCTAAGATCCTCATGACGCCATGATGCCAATGATGGTCAGCTTGGAAGCCCTGCAGCTGAGTCAAGCTTCAGCTTGGCACCAGGAGTGCGCACAAAAGCTGCATGATCCCGAAAATGGGGTGAACATTGTCATAGGCACGGGCGGCGGCATGTTTCCCTGGGATGATCAGCTGGAACAGGCACCTGGAATCCAAATGACCCTTGTCTCACAGGCTTTGCACCATCTTTATCATTTTTGACCCGTAAGCATTAGAGCTTGACCATCCAAACTAGTTCTCACTTGGTCATTTATAACTAGTTATGTGCTTTCCAGGTGTATCAGTCTATCTAGGCGCAGCAAAGGGGGGTCCAAATGACCTGACTTTGAACCACCTTTTCTACTGTTGCCACCTTCAGGGCCTCAAGGTTTGGAAATGGAGTGAAGCCAATAGGATCTCCAACTGGGTATAGTTGCACAGTACACACACATACATATGATGAGGTATATATTTCATATATGTATATACAGAATGGACAAATGCCAATGAAAAGCTTGGGAATCACTGGAATTTTCCTGGAAATATCATTGTCATGGGCCAAATCAGGGCCCCATTACAGCCTTGATCCGCAGGCCCAGTGAGTTTGTATTCATGCAGCAGCTTGGCTGCGCGGCTGTTGCTTGGTGATCAAATTCCCAACAGAAATGGGGACTTAACTTGTGAAAACGTAGGGCGACCTGACAGAAATGCGGAGTGTGCCAATACTTACCCGCCCAAAGTATGGATTTTAATGGAGTTCCCGTCAGAACTCGTGACTTTTTCAGCCGGGACGGATTGTGCTCACAAAATCAACTAAAAGCATTGCACATTTCAGCATCAAAAGTGGAGGTATGACGCACTGTATCCTAGTAATATAATCAATTAATGTGGTAAACCCAATAATAAAGGACCCCTCAAATCACTATTTTGGTGGGTTAGGACTAAAACCATACCAGTTTTATTATATATTGGGTTGTCCAGTCCACATTACAGTATGATTGTTTGGTGGTGTCAAGTAGGCGCAGTATGTTCCGTGTCTTTTGCTGGGATTATGACTCGAGATATGGGAGTTATTGGAGGTAGACACGCAATAACTATTCGTATGTATATACAGTAACAAGTATAGTATAGTATATTTAATGAATATACAGTCATGATATGTAAGTTATACCAACTAGTATGTATGTAATATGCAGTGACAGCCTGCTATGTGATCCTGCGGGCTTGACCATCAGCTGACGAGTGGATGTTTATCCCACTTGAATTCTGCGTTTAAATAAATAGAGATTTATATACACACATATATATATATACTCAATTATGTATATGCTGAATTGTTGCACTGTCTATGTACTGTTTCTATTTATAATATATATCTATCAATGTATCTAAGTATCTAAATGTACAGCTATATGATACCATATCTGCACAACTAAATCGCCATCGATTTGTATACACCTATCATCCCCCAAAAAAGATCAACAAGTAAATCCTCCATCAAAATAGTGAAGATTCACTTTTAGGCATCTTTGTCAGGATTACATACTATAATCAATGGCCATTCCAGGAACTCAAATTGGAGGTACGTAGAATATATAAGACCTACGTAAGGGCAAAATTTCAGGGGATATACTCCCAAAATATGGCCTTATATGGTACAGTACCTTCATTTTAGGATCCTGGAATTCCCATTGATATAAGCATTTGGGGGGATGGCTTAAGACAAAAATGTGAGGCGCTAAGCTCTTGAAGGGCGCTACGGAGCTGCGAAAGAAGTATCAACTCAATGGACATACACATGTGCCTGGGTCCTTTTTGGTAAGGACTTGTAGTGATTCTTATATATAGATATATACAATATTTATTATAGATATTATTTTTCATATATATATATTCATTTATTTGTTTATTTATTTATTCATTTATTATATATACAGTAGAAACCAAAAGTATAGAAGTTGGTAAATTCCAATGCTAACATAGCGGTAAATTGAACTTGTTCGGCATCTTTTTGGGTCATTTTAGTGCCATCAACGAGGAATATCATTGGGATATTATGTGGATATATCAATATATAGTAATCAGTGTATTTCACGGGATTTATAACCAAATTTTGATATGTTTTTATTTACCTGAGGAGCAGCTGTGTGATTATTAACTGGGAATCCCCATCAACCAAGCAGTAAAACCAATTCGCAACCATGTTTTTGCTCATGCTCATCTGGATTTGTCCAAACTGGGGATTTAACTATCAAATCTTGGGGGAAAACGTTGGGAAATGGAGGATTTAAAGAGCTACCTAGGGAATTTCATGGCGTGTTAGCCAAGCATATTGCAGGGTTGGCATGGCAATGCTAATGATTAGAAATATTAGATTCAAGAAATCCTTGGGGTACCATTTTCACCATTGGATTCCTTCTGAAACGTGACCAGCCATTTTGATGATCAGTTGGTGATTTGTCCCGATTTTGAAGCTTCCAAAGTGCCCAAAGTGCCCTCCACTTACGGAGATTTTTTTTGTAACTTTCATCATGGCCAGCATTTCCAAGGTCATAATACCAGGGTTAGAACATTCAACTTCAAGGTCCCAGCCTTAAAAACCAATTCATTCTGTCACTGGGGATGTGGTCCCTGGCAAGTTTCAGAAAGCAACTCCAGGATCCGGGAAGTCACGTGTGGATACAGTGGGAGAACTGGTAATACTTATAGGTCCTTACATGTGTTGCTTACATGCATAATAATCATAATACCATTCAACCGGGATGTAGGTAAACAGAAACAGCACTTAGAATTCTCAAAGTAGCGTGCCAGTGCCAGAAACTGTCCCCAATGATTGAACAGAAATGGTAGAAACCATCCACAAATGGTAGTTGTTCAGGGCATTAGGTTAATTCCCACACTATCAGCCATTTCCATTCTCCCCTATGTTGGTGAAATCATGTGACATTCATGTTCAATCCCTATAATTACATCCCACATTCCCATCGTCAAATCCACAAATATTTACTGAATTTACCAAATTGCCAAACTATCACTTATAGTTTTTATTCATATTATATCTCTATATCTATATATATATAT